GCAACGGGGCAAGGACGCAAAACTGCTCCAACCAAGGCACGACGACACCAAGCACGACAGGCAACAGGACAGGTACAGTACGACGGCAACGACGAGCAGTCATGACATAAACCGTTCTGATTCTACTACTGCAGCACTATTCAGCTACTGCTGTCGCCTGAACTATGGGCATAGACGAAACATGCTTCCGGCGCCTCATGGATCATCATCACGGGCTCTGGGGATTCTTCCGTGATTTTGGAGGCCATGACCTCTCAATATGCACTGCAGTGCTCGACGGAGTTCTCAACTGGAGCCCTCCAGCGGTGGCCCTGAATCACGGCTCCTACAGAAAGGACCTCCCTGCCCACTTAAACATCCCTACAGTCTCTCTCTCACACATATCACTCACCCTCCTCACAGACGAAATGCATAAAACTGCAGTTCTGCAATCATGACCGGTCCAACCTGACCCTCGTAGACAATGTAGAAGTGATCGCCGACTTCGCCTGCCGTGACTCAGCCAGGTGTCTGGGGACAAACCATTGCTCGAGTCCGACAAGTATGAGATGCGATGATATGAGAGCCTCACAATGCCTCACACACTCCACACCCGCCCGCCTTGACTGATGATGACGTCGCCTGGGCTCACTGCTGGGCCGGGAAACACAGTGAGTTTGGAAGATCACTCTTGAAAGTTGACCCAAGGGCCCGGACCCCTTGGCCGCCTCTCCATCTTCAAGGCGTCGATGATGTTTTCCAACTGGCCATAGAAGTTTAGCTTGCGGCTTCATCAATCATGTGACATAGACGGGCCTCCCCACGCGTGATGCTGGAAAACAATGGCACGGAGGAGAGGACTGAAAGGCACCTGCAGCATCTGCAGCTCGGTGGCCCGGTGTGTACAGAGGCCAAAGAACAGAAAGAGGCAGGGCAACGGAGTCATCAAAGAACATGGTCGCAAACGCCCTGCTCCTCAGCAAGATCATGACCCCAGAAGCCAACTCAGGCATCGGCTGGTTTCGTTTTCGCTGGACTCCTTGCTGATGGTAAGTCCGGCTGAATCAGTAACATTGCACCCCAATCAGAAATTAGATGAGCATATCAGCGTAGTTGACGCACAACCTGGACGCTTATGACTCCGGCGGTCCTTCCATGACGATGTTGTTGAAGGTCGCGCGGTCCAGCTCCCAGAGCACCGCAGGCTGGCGTGGAGGCTCTTTCTTCTGTCTGTGCTCATCCAACTACCAAAAACCAGGTTTTGCGCAACCTCTCCAGAGTACACCGGGCACACGGTCACAGTGAAATATCATCCGTTCCGAATCGGATTGCAAGGATGCAAGGTGGAAAGACCGACACGCTGACCTCGCGGCATTGGACGCTCGCCGCTCTGGGACAATTATAGAGAAGCGCCTGAGAAGCTTGTGGGCAGCGAGTTTGAATGATTTAGGATCGGTTTTCAGTCGAAGCAGGACCCCTAGCAACTAGTGAAGTAGAACCCAAGAGGCACAGATAACCCCAGGGCCGCAAGTGTCAAGATTATAATTATACCCGTGCCGCAGATGGAAGCAAATCACTGTGTCACATAGATCGGTGCGACAAAACCAGATAAAATGACATTTAAGTGCGTCCGGGCACAAGCTCACCAAAGAGGTCTCCCTTGACACAGGTCTTGACAACCTGGCTCGGATGATCGAGCTTCCGCCGGAGGAGTTGGAAACAGATCGACTTAAGAGAGGAAAGGATTTGATCATCGACCAAGTTGTGAAAGCTTTACTGTAAGCTTGCCGACATTGACAAACAGAGCTTCCATCCAAATCTTATGCAAGTGGAGGCGACCATCTCGACACCGTCGATGACTTTGACGCAGTCCATAGACCCGTCCTCTCCGGCACAGGAGCCCGAAAAAGTGATTCAATTGCCGCACAAGACTGCAAATGAGAGCCAAGCAGCGACATTCAGACTCTGCCATCTCAAGCCTACCGAGACACAACGAGACCTTGTGAAAGTCTTCTCAGCCCTCTTGGAACGGTCCGTGACGACGTACAGATGGTCCCCCGTGTCACCCTCTTGGATGATTCTGTGGCCTGGCGTCTACGGTGTCATCGAAGTCTCCACCACATGTCAGGTCGATTCTCCTAAACTAGGGACATGTCGCGGGAGCTTCGTGAAACAGACCCTGCCACCGAGTTCAACCGCCTGCGACATGCCCTTGCTACCACAGCAGCTCCAACCTGACTCTAAAATCAGCGGGCCCTTCATGGCTGCGATGACAACCTCAGAGATGAGGCTGTGTCTGACACAACAGTCTCTGCAGTCAACTACATCACACCATGTCGGCTACGTGAATGTAACATGTTGCAGCATCTGCACACAATCCAAATCTTGCTCATACGCTTGAACCCAAACGACCTTTCGCCAACTGTCACCCTGACACGACTCCGCCTCAAGCGCAGCCTTTCACTTTTCTTGGGCTTCCCACGCGAAGGTCCTTCTCTTCCAGAGACGTGAATAAGAAGGATTGCGCTGTCACCTTCAGTGGCTGATTGGTGCATTGGCAGTTTGGCTGTCGAAGCCGCTAGGACTAGGATTGCTCATTTTGCACTCAGACTGTGATCGTCAGAACCCAAGCCACTTCAAAAAACGAGAAGGTCTCAAACGACACAACAGAAGAATCTTCACATGATGGCACTGTGTGTCTTCACCCGTTTAGACAACATGCCTTCATACAACAGCTGTGCTCACACATGTTGCAACAAGATCTTTAACTGACTCGCAACTCTCAATTAGCACTGCCCGGAGACGCAGAACACTCTGTGATCTCCTGCTTCACATCAATCCCTCCCACAGCGCTTTGCACCTCAACGAGCTCCTGGGTCTGGTCTGGCCTGGGCACAGGGGCACTGGCCACGCGCAGCTCTGTATATCCTGAACCCTGAACCCTGGAAGCCCTGAAGCACATTGATGGGAGGCTCTTGTCCCCACCAGGATACCTGTTGTCCTTCTTCCCGACATTTCCCAACAGCAGGCGGACTTCATCACCACCGACCCCGGCAAGAGCGGGGTTCTCTTTTCAATTTCGTCACGCTGAGCGGGACGTTTCCATTGTGCAACTCCTGTCAATTCTGCCGTCGTCGTGAGTACCCTGAGGTTCGAAGAACAGGGACAAAGATACCCGTCGCCCCAGGAAAAGGCATGCTTCACGACTTCGCTGGAAGTTCTCGCATTACGCCCACATCTCACACATGATCTCATCTTGTTCCTATCGGAAATGGTCCTATTGAATGCCAAGCCTAGGCATGTGCAATTGAACCGCCAAACCGCCAACCCCCGACAAACCAACCTCTAAAACTGTTGGGGGTTCCACGTTTTCGGATAGACCGCGGGCTCGAAGATAACCCGCTGATTCCTCAGCAAGATCGGTTTTGTTGGTAGGTCCGGGAAGTCCAGGGCATTTTAGGGGGCAGGGATGCGATCCAGCGGGCACACATGCTGAGCCCTCAATCTTTCCGGGTCTTGTGATCCTATCTTTCTGGAAAACTGCCATTCAGGGCAAGCTGCCGTTGAAAGACTTGATTAAGTTTCCCACGTGAAAAGTTGAAAGATCCGGCCATCAACATGCTGACCGACTGCAGTGTAAAGTGTAAGGCGTGGACCACTCGCCGAAAGCTTCTGCAGACACACTCTGCCTCTGAGTTCGGACCTTGAGAACTGCAGACAAAAGAAAACGGCGATACGATGTGATACGATATAAGGGCTGCCGGGTACAGGCTGACTGTAGAAAAGAAGAGTCCTTTCCGATTCATAATCGGCTTACTTCGAAATGCGTCATCTCGCGGGTAGCATCTACATACTTCATAGCGGTCTGGGCGAAAGATGACTACCAAAAAGCCGGGAACAACTGCAATTGATATCCCAGAGGCAGCGGAAAAGGCTGTGAAGGATGACGGGCTAAAGGAAGGAAACAACAGCTGTCTCGAAGTTCTCGAGACTTAGGCTGGAGTTCGTAGGTCCATGCTAGCTAAGGTCGAGGCCTTCGGGGGAGGAGGCAGTGGCACAAATTCGGGCTCCTCGGTCTCATCCTCTTCTGTGTCCTCGGTACAACAACGGATGAGTGTGTGTCGCCTGCCATCGCCTCTGTTGTGTACAATCGGCAGATGGTCAGCTTCACAGATAAAAGAATACCAACTTGTAGTCACCCGGGATGCCGGACTGTGTCTGCCATGGCAGGGGTGGCACCAAGGCTAGAAAGAGATGGAGTAACTGCTCTTTTCCTGAATCAACGGTATTTGCTGACCTGCTTCAGGGAGTGAAGGGGTGGTGCTTAGGACATCTTCGGGCTGGGAGTGGTGGCCGATGTCTATGTTGAAGTTACCTTGCATGGCATGCTTTTAGGAATAAGGATCTGCATCAATGCCTTTGGAGGCTTGCGGCTGCGGTTGCTCGCCGGAATCTTTAAGGTCCAGATGCCACAGAGCAGAAAGTCGACCGCTGCCGGTACCAGCCGTGCGGCAATTTCGAATCGACGGGTGTGCCGTGTCACTGAGACAGAAGCGGGAAAATCAGAAAAATGCCACAAATTTCTTGCAAGCGGCTAGCTAAAAATGTTGTCGTGCTAAACACCTCCCTTATGCTCCACGGTGAAGACACCGCCCTCCGGTCGATAGTTAGCCGCCTGCCCTTGCAGAACCTGGAGGCAGCCTCCCGACTCTTGCCGATCTCTGCTACTGATGGCGTCTACCACTTGTTGACCACCAGGCATGGCAGTTGCACCAGTACCAGCAAGATAGCCGACGGGGGCTTTGCGACAAGCGTCGAGCGAATTCACATTAACAGCACGGCAGGATGCACACGATGCTCTTATCAATTTCAGAACTGCAAGCATACGACCAGGCATCCAGCACTGAACCTGAAAGGGTTTCGATCAAGAGCACTTTGCACATTGATCGTGGGAAAATCATACAAGGCCGAGACGATGCTACACATCAGATAAGCGCAGAAGCCCTGAGGAAAAGAAAGGCTCAACTCGCAACGGTCCCCTTCTGCAGCTCCAGAGGAAGAGCTGACCTGGGAACAGAGCCGAATCTTCAAGCAGGAAGCAACGAAGCTACCATCCTGGGCGTATGGCTCGATGGTGTTTCGCAGGTTTAGTAGCAGTTCTTTGTCCGGTGTCTCCTGGACTGCCTTGCATACATGCATGCGACGCCACGTCAGATGATATCTTGTTTGAAATCGCCACGCAACTTAAGCACATCGTCATGAAGACAAGTCTGCCCCATCATTCCTGAGACTTGCTGCTGCGCCTCGGCCGAAACTGCCGGGTGCACGATCACCTCCACCTGCAATCAAGCGAAAAATTGACATGAGGCAGCGCGATCACATGCTGGGGTCGTGGCTCTGAAGACGTGGGCTGTGCAAGACAGTCTAGGGCATGGGCTCCAGCACGGTTGTGGTACAGAAAGAACTCCTGGAAATGTCGAAAAAATTCTGACAATCGCCAGCTGCAAAGGCCCAGGAAGTCCTTCTTGCTGGGCATCAAACGGCCAGTTCCCAGGATAGTCACCGGGACAATAGGCACCTTTGCCCTCTTGGCCATGGAGACCGGACCTCCGGAGCGAGAAGCCGTTTTCCAAAGACAGTTGGGAGGATCCGGGATCGACACCCTTCTTGAATTCGAGGAGTGCTCCATCGGGGCTCCGTGTACCCTGCCGGGCATGCAGGGAACCTCTTCACCACCGCGTGTTGGCTTAAGCAACGGTGCACATACGTAGACGTGCGAGGAAGAGAGAGAGAGAGAGAGAGAGAGAGAGAGAGACAGAGAGAGAGGAAGAGAGAGAGAGGAAGAGAGAGAGAGGAAGAGAGAGAGAGGAAGAGAGAGAGAGAGAGAGGAAGAGAGAGAGAGAGAGGAAGAGAGAGAGAGAGAGAGGAAGAGAGAGAGAGAGAGGAAGAGAGAGAGAGAGAGGAAGAGAGAGAGAAGAAGAGAGAGAGAAGAAGAGAGAGAGGAAGAGAGGAAGAGAGGAAGAGAGGAAGAGAGGAAGAGAGGAAGAGAGGAAGAGAGGAAGAGAGGAAGAGAGGAAGAGAGGAAGAGAGGAAGAGAGGAAGAGAGAGAGAGAGAGACACAGCCACACACAGAGGAGCAAAACAACAATGAAGAGGGCGAGGGAGGGAGACGGAGAGACAGAGAGATAGATGGATGGTTAGATGGATGGATAAGTAGAAAGATAAACAGACAGATAGATAGATAGATAGATGGAGACTGATAGACACACAGGCAGATAGACAGATAGACAGACGGGACAAGTAGACAGATAGACAGGTACACAGATCCAGATAGACAGATAGACAGGTGGACAGGTAGATAGGAAAATAAACAGATAAACAGAGAAACATATGGACAGATAGATGGAGAGAAAGAGAGGCCTTGATTTATACGGAGGGCAGCCGAAGCAAACACTCGTCTCTGGAGCAGCATGCCGCATGCCTCGCAAGGATGTCTTTTAAGAAGGGACATCCGGACCACGGGGAGCCTCCATGCGCCCCGGTTGGCTGCAATACATTCATTTCGGCGAACTCACGACATACTCTATGAAAAGATAGATTCACCGAGATACCGATTCCAGATGGAGGGCGTGAGGGTGACGGACACAGAATGACAGAGAGAGAGAGAGAAAGATAAATTTTCGAACACAAGAAATGATACTTCACTAGTAGATGGAGGGAGAGAGAGAGAGTGAGAGAGATAAAGAGGAAGAACCAAGCCAGAGGCAGACATAGATGACATGGGAACAAATCCAGATGAAAAACAGCGCGACGGAGACAGGAAAGACCGACCCACAGACGGAGTAGCGACAAACACGGACAAGAAGAGGAGAAGAATAATAGACCACGATGGATAGGCAGGTTTGAAGGATCAGAAACTTGTCTTCTTCGTGCCGTGCCCGCCTCCGGAAAGATGAAAATAGAGGCGCCCTGGTCCATGTCAAGAAGTCTCATGCCATGTGCTCAGCACGTCCGTTCAGGAGATGAATCACCCTCGGGCTGCCATCGCTCCGCGACATTACGCTGCGTGGATTGATGACACTTCTTGGGTGTACTTGCGGCACATCTGAAATATGTGCTGGTTGCTAGGTATATGAACATCGAAACTTCGACTTACACAAACTGGACACCAGGCCTCCTGCAATGTGGACACGCATTGCCGAAAGGTTGCCATCTGGGACCTGCCAGTTTCAGATTGACATAGTGAACTACGCGGCTCGCGGCTGGATCGTGTGCACTTTGGCGGCTGATTGTTATGATGTTCGCATCGTCAGTACTACTCGGCGGCTAACAGTTGAAGAATTTTGAGGATTCGGGCGATGTTTGTAATTCAAGGGTACTGGGATTTTGGGACTTGCCTTTTGAGATGTTTGCGTGCACTGGACGGCTGATGCTAGTGATGCTGATGAGCGTTGCGTTGAATGCGGAAGCCTTGGGCGGGTGATGCTATCACTAAGATGCTAAGATGGGCTGCTGATAGCCACTGTGGCTGCTGTTCATGTGTTCCTGCTCTTGCACCGGACGGGCAATATGTGAGAATTCGGGGCTAGTCACTAGTAGAACCTCTTCGCGGCGAGCAAAGCACCAAAGGACCTGTTTGTTTGTTACGACGGTTACACGTACACATGCGTATGTATGTTAAATTTGATGTATACATATGTATTATGTAAACATGTGTGTAAATGTGTGTAGAAACCATATATATATATATATAAGTATATATATATGTATATATATATATATGTGTATATACTATTTATAGACAGACAGATAAATAAATAGAAAGATTGATAGGTAGATTGCGCATATATAGTTATCTATATGCACGATGGACACACAATCCAAAAGCAAAAAGCTGACTGCAGATGATTCAGCACATCTCTCTGACGGAGTTCTCTCGGGTCACCAGGCCTCCTGTCTTCGCGCTCAAGGGTGATTGTGCGGGTTCTTTTCATCGCCCAACCGACCACTGGGATCTTCAAGATGGATGCTTTCGAAACCCACTTGAACGATCTGGACCTAAGCCAGATGCACTCAGCTTAGGAAAGTTAGGAGGTGCAGCACAACCTTTACAGCTGTGTCCAAAGACGATTCGCTGCAATTGCAAACTGCCTCAGCATGTCTGAGCTTCGCACAGATGGTAGCAAGACAGGATGTCCATGAAGGACTGGTGGTTCGCGACATAAACCTGGCGAATTCACGAGGCCGAAGTCTCAGGGGCGGTGCAGTTTCAGTTTGGCTCCAATTCGCGCAAGGGTTGCCACCGCCTGATCTTTAGGCAACAAGTTCTCGCGCCCCTTCACCTCCCAATGTGAAGCAGAGGACAGCTAGGTCACACACTAGTTGCAGAATCAATGTCTATGACAAGCATTGCAGAAGATACTTAAAGACCAGAGCTCTCAGCCTTCACACTGAAGAAAGGCCATGTCGTCATTTGACTCCACCTTGGCCGCAGTTGGTACGGTACCTTGCCTGTGCACTCGTACTCCCTGCATCTCTGCGTCTTGCCAACTGCGAACATGCGGCGCGCAGATGACTCGGTCCACATACTTGCGTGCCACCGGATCCTTGCGCTTCACCACCTTATTGAACAGAGCGCTGAGGAGAAAACTGTGGATGCCCATCTCACACTGTGGCTTAGCCAAGGGCGGGAAGTCCTGCACAGGAACACGAAGACATTCCTCTTTTCCTGATCTCTTACTGCCCCACTTCCATGTCCTGCTGAAATGGCTGGGACCACCCAGGCTGACAGGCAAAACATGGTCCACATCAGCCTGGGCAAAGCACCGTAAAACTTTGGTCTTTAAGCTCTGCGGACACTGGCGACGCCAGCTCACGCTGGCCCCACTTGCTCGGAGCCCCGCCCAATAGACCGAAAGAAGGCCAGCACGGAATGGCCAGGCAGGCGCCTGGCCATGCACAGTGCTGCTTCCACATGTCCGGGTGGGGAAGCATGTCTCTGAGAAGCTCGGGCAGAGGGAACTGAGGCATCTTAAACCTCGAGTATCCTCGACTCGTCGACACAGAATCAAGCCTGTCGAGCTTTGAGTCTAAAGTGTTGAATGAGCACGGGGCCATGCAATGCTTGAAGCAGCACACCACCAGAACAAAGCTCGCCCGGCAGACCGCTTCGGGCGCACGAACTGTTTCAGCTCTGCACCAGATCCTGAACAAAATCGCCTCTGGAAGAGAAAAGAAAGAAGCCTGCCTCTGAATCCGGTGAAGCTTAATCGAGTCACCTAGACCCGAACCTGCTCCCGGGTCCGGACCTCTATGATGAAGATATGAAGGCACTGTGTTACGGCGAGACTATCCCACAGAATGTCAGCGAAAGCGTCCTGCAGTCGCTGTCCTAGCGACGAGAGCAGCTGGCGGAGGCCGCCCTTAGCATGCAGGTCAGACACAAGTGATTGTAGGTTTGCAAAGGAATGTCACACAGAGTCGTCGGGAAACGATCATTCGGCGGAAATTCGACAGGCCATCCAAGCACTGAAGGCAAGCGAACTATATGTGTCAACCGTGAGTCACAGTTGAGCTGCCGGCAACCGCCAAACCGTGTGGGGAAGTCAGGAGTCGGCAGTTGCAATAGCAACCCATGTGCAGAGATTCTCGAGGAAGTCTACGCAAGTTTTGAACAGATCCATTCATTCCGAGCCTCTTCCCAGCTTGTCCTACGGGGTTTAGACCCCGGGTTCAAGGCCTCGCCCGAGGCCGAGACGCAGACTTCGATCCGTCGGCAGGGCAAAGGCGTGCGCCGCCTGGCGAGCCCGGGTTCAACTCATGGCCCCAAAAGGAAGCCGGGGGGGGGGCTCCTCGGCTTCTCCTTAGTTGCGGGCCTCTGTGCGGCTCCGAGAAGCAAAGCAGACCTTCCAGTTTTTTGTGGACTCCTCTCAGAGGCACCGGCCCGCTGATGCTAAGTTCCGAGCACATGCGCCGAGCAGAAGTGCAAGTACCGCTCGGGCACCCATTGTCAATATGCAGGTGAGTGGCCACTCAGGGCTAGGACTATGGGGAAGTGGATGGGCCACATTGGTTCTTGTGATGGACTGGTGCCCAGTATCCTGCTTTGCTGAGGCGGGTCCAGGGGTCGTGTGCAGGACTTCCACACCTGTAAGGCCTTCGTGTTTCGTATCACCAGGCCAGGTCTTGCTGAGGAGCCAATTAATCGGCTGACAGAACCCCCACACACACACACACATGACATGCAGAAGGGAACCATGTGCGCTCATTTCAAGTCTGGCGGGCAAGCACAATCCACAATCCATGAAATCCTGACATGCCGTCGTTTCAACCGGAGGCCAGTGCTGACTACTCTCGGAGGCAAGGCTCATTCCACCACCTGCATCACAAGTCCACTGGCTATGCACAGAGCAACACCTGTGCCAACATGCACCCTGACACTCGGTAGAGCCTCTTCGAGGAAGAATGGCGACTTGCAACCGGTCACTGCATCCATCCGGTGTTGTGGATCCAGCCTGGGACTGGGCTTGGTTAGCACATTGGAAACGACCGAAGATGTGCAGATGTGCTGCAACCTGAATGCGATGGGCGCCTGGCCGCAGCAGACCTGACACAGGTAGAACTGCTGCAAGATCTCTGACCAGCTGTTTCAAGAAGCTCTCTGTGGCTCTGTGGTGCCTTGGAGCAAGGACAGGAAGGCTCCGTGCCGCGGCAAGACCTGGCAGCGGTTTGAGTCCTACACACCCGTCCTAGCGGCTCTCGATAGGCTGCGTCGGCGACCACCTGTCTGCAGCTGCTCATCTTCCACGACACACCCTGAAGCCCATTCCTCGTGTCCTAACTTACGCCCACATGTCCGCAATACGTTCTAACATCCGCAAACCAAAGTCTCTCCCACCTGTCGTGACAGTGGCTGAAGCTCCTTGCACAGGCTTGCGAACGACTCACTTCATTCAACTTCGTGTCTGTTGGCATCGGGTTGCAGCACGTTCTGCCAAAGATTTATGATCGGGAGCTCCGAAAAAATGAAAATGTGCCAGCTGAAAGGCTTCATCTTTGTTGCCCTGCCTCACTCAACAAGCTTCCACATCCAACGGCCCTACCGCAATCTGGCGCTTCTGACGCCTCCACTCGCCGCACCGCCGCTTCCGAAGCCTTGCCTGGCCAGTCCTCGGCGGTTTGAGACTTCGGGGCCCAGCTGGGCCCCCCTTTTGTTGGGCTTGGGACGACACCAGGCGATCGTCCTCTGTTACAGCAAAGTCTTCGAGGTCAGGGTCCGATGATGCCTCAGGTTGACAGCGAAAGGAAAAAAAAGGCCGAACTTCTGAGCAGAGGCCGACTGCACGCAAGCCTTTGGCAAACGGGCCACTGCTCAGAAGCCCAAGACACTTGGACGCTTGCTTAGACTTCGACTCAGACATCCTCTTTGAACACCAGAAGAGCAAAGAAAACAGGCGAGTAGCACCGTGAAGTCTCCTTGCCAAACCTCGGCTGACCTTCTACCCGCTAGCCTCTTCGAGGATGCGGACTGATTCAAGCGTAAACCCTGATTCGGGTCTCGTTTTTTGAAGGAAATGAGCAGCGACAGGAAGACACAACTTGAGTTTTCGGGTGGAAGGTGAGCTTTGGGATCACCGCCTAGGCCTGGCTGGAACACGTCTTCTTCATGCTCTTCTCTTGCTCATGTTGATGGAAGAGCAAGCTTTGGGTCTCGTGTCTCCCTGCATCTGCAACATTCCTACAAAGGCAGTACTGCGTGGAAGAGCGTCGTTTGCCCTGCAGGAGCTACACTCCGTGCGCGGCCAAACACACAGTATGCAAGTTCAAGTTTGGCTCGCTGGATTTCCTGATCCCAATCGGCGCTCCATGTTCCATGTACAGCTTGCAGCCACGGTCGGGCAGGCAAACATCACGCTCCTCTCGTTCAACACGGCGGATGCTGCCAAGGCATTCAAGGAAAATCAGGCGTTCCGCATTATGTACGATTCCATCACTTGCTGCTTCATGAGCACGTCCTGAACATGTCAGCTGAAGGTTGGAGCTATTCCCTTCGTCATCATGTCTTGGTGACTGAGAAATCGCCCGGCACTCTGCAGAAACTGGCCGGCAAGCGCACCTTGACGATGTATGCCAGGCTGGTCATGTCTGTGTCAGGGTCGTTGGTTCGGCCCCAGTTGCCGCCCGTCATCTCCACTCGCACCCTCTCATCCACAAAGTGGAACTTGCACCTCGACAACCACATGACGCAATGCAGGCAGTGTGCCAGACTTGCCCTCAACTTGATCGGATGATAGACCGAGGTTTCGAACATGCCGTGATTCGAGGGACATCAGCACTAGTCATCGTCTGCAGTCTCCTTCCACACCGATGAGGTTCGAAGCCAAAAGGCACCTGGAGACGCACGTCTGAAAGACGAATCGATTCTGCACCGCGGCGATGAACTCGCCCATGTCCTTGGCACTACATTTAAACCTTATATAAACCCTCTGATGGCACATCCGAAAGAAGCTACATCTGCAGGGTGAATATGCTGATCCGCAGCGCCCTGAGAAAACAGGACAAAGCGAACTCAAGCTCCGTCCCTTCCAAACTTGCCAGGTCGAGTTTGAATACTATGGCGGCTAAAATTTCCGATGCCACATCTGACACGCCTGAATTCAAGGCATGCTTCGGACAAGTCGACCGGGATCATCTGCACGCCTTTTAAATTGGGCATGCTTTCCACGGCCATCCAAAGATTGCTCAGCAAATCCACGAGTACCTGACGCGAGTCTGAGTCGGCCCTGGGCACTGGGGAGGTACCGACTTACAGACTTACAGAATACAGAGCCCTGAGGTATGGGAGGCAGCAGCAATGACTGGGATCGTGACTGGAATGCGCTGCCACCACTACGACCATCACTCGTCCTCGATGAAACTAACTGTGATGATTTCTCGGCATTCGACATGGAGGTGGTACGGCTGCCGTGTTTCTTGTCGCTGATGTCTCCGCAAAAGGATGATTCTCCAAGCATTGACGCGGCTTTAGGAATGCTGATGATGCGCTAGGATGGAATACAACTGCTTTGCCAAGATGTCCGAGCAGCTGACCGGCAATCCATTACACCACACCCTGCAAACCCTCGAGCGCGCCTGCATCTTGCAGCCCTGAAACCCCAGCAAACAACCATCAAAGCAACCCCAAATCCTGACATTCATTGAGCCTCCAGGAGGATGGTAAGGCCTACCAAGCTGTTTGTCTTGGCATTGGCCACGCAGGCGGGCAGGAACTCCAGCACCAAGGCCCGCTCCTGTGGGCCGAGGATGAGGCGTTTTTGGAAGCTGGCTGGGGGGGGGGGGAAGATGGGGCCGGGTGCACTGCAAAGCTTGGGTCGCCACTGCTCAAGCAGCTTTCAAAAACGATCCATTGTAGTGACGGTGCTGGCACCATGAAGCATTGACCAGGGTCTCATGAAGCCGTGTGATTCTGGCTTTGCTATTCATGGACGATCGTGGGCACAAACAGCCGTGCCTGTGGCTTAGCGTGGTTGAGGATTCGGACCGCAAGGTTTCAGGTCAAGGGGTCCTCCAAACCATCACTGAGAAAGTGCTGCACGAGGAACGACTGTTCTCTTGCACCTTACTCTGTGCACATTTTCCAGGAGACATTCTCATTGCAACTGAAGCGAAAGCTATCGCATCAGAAACGCTAGAATGCAAAACATTCAATATTTTGTGCTAGGCCAAGTCGAACAAGTAGTGCTGCTGTTGCTTCTGCGACTGCCACTGCGTCACTGCCACGGCCAGGGCAGCGACTTACTGCTTTTGCTCCTGCTGCTCCTGCTCCTGCTGACGCAGCTCCTGCTGCTGCAGCTTCTGGTGCTCCTGCTGCTACTGCCGCAGCTACAGACTGCCACAGACTTCTAGCAACCAACACTGCCAGCACACATCAGCTGCCCTCTGCATTTTGCTGCTCGAGTTGCCCAGGCTGTCCCAGGCTCGCCGGAGCTCTTTGTAGCCCTGAGGGTCCTGGTGAAAACACGCTTTCAAGAGGAACACATGCCTTGGGTTTGAAGTCCAGAAGCCCAAAGCCTATACCCGAAGCTCGAAACTACAGCTGTTGCATGCTGTTGCGTCCTGCACCCGGCTCAGACACGCCAGGCGGACCAGTACGAAGTCCTCGGCGGTCCGCTGCGGCAGCCGTAGGGCAGCTGCCTTTGTCCGCGCAAACAGCCATACATGGAAAGTCTTTGCATTGCAAGGCAGGACCCACTGCGCGCCCCACCCCCTCTGCCGTCCAGACCTGTGCTCTCCCTAGCTGTAAAACTATCTATCTGTCTATCTGTCTATCTATCTGTCTATCTATCTGTATATATATATATAGATATAGATATAGATATAGTTATAGATATAGATACATATATATATATATATATGGTCACGCGCTCCGCAGACCCCCCCCCCCTCCCCCCCCAAAGGTCAATGGTCCGGATATAGGGTGGGGCCCCCCCCCTCCCCTGTGGTGTGGGGTGTGGGGTTCCTTTTCCTCCTGTGGGGTGGTTGTGGGGTTTTGGGGTTTCGGGTTTAGCTTAAGCTTTTGAGTTTTGGGTTTACGGTTACAAGGTATAAGGCTTCGAGTCGACAAGGGCTTAGGGAGGATTTGCGGTGTATGCTCTGCTTTAGGCTTAGAGCCTGCAGTTAGGTGGTGTTTAGGGTTGGGTGTAGTGTTTTAAGTACAAGTCAATGTTGCTCAAAACAGGGGCGCGCGCTGCGTCATAGGGTGTCATAGGGTTTACGAAGTTTACGGCTTGCTTGCGAAGGGCTTGCGCGTGAGCCCTGGCCGCCAGCACCAACGGCCCCCAACCCCTTTCCGCACACGCCAGGCCCCCCCCCCCCCCCTGTCAGACCATACCATTGGGGGGGGGGGGCTGGGAACGCCAGACGCCTGACCATATATGTGTGTGTGTGTGTGCATGTATGTGTGAGTGGGTGTTCCATCGAGCCTTTATCAGTGTGCCATACTAACACATGACTCTGCATATACATGTCCTCATCCGCTTCCTCCATCAGTCTGCATGTGTATGGGAAATGCATCATAAACTTGCATATCTGAAACAGACATGTCAAGCAAGCAAACACAAATAAACGTCTTTGGAAGCAAGACAAAACTGGGAAGAAACTACTGTGATAATACCAGACCCACAGCCGCACGAAAGATTCTTTCAAGCTCAGGATGTTTGGAAGCTCCTTCAACCGGCGAAAGAGCCCTGAAGTCTGCTTGTCAACAGTCAGTTTGGCCGACGGAATGCTTGGAAAGAGGCTTGCTCCCCTCATGCAAACATGCCAATCCGGCACCCTTGCCGGCGATGTTGCACTACTGAATGGCTTCAAACTTTGTGACCAGAAGGGCGATACGCCACCACCACCACCACCACCACCACCGCCACCACCACCACCACCAGTAGTGAGACTAGTGCGGAAAGCAGTCGAGAGCAGGACTGAGATGAGATAGGACACGACCTTCAACACACCAGTGCAGGCCAGGAGCACGAGCTGCTGCAAATCCCCAATAAATGCCCCGTGCTGTGGCATCCATCAGGTGTTGAAGCATGCCGATGCCGGAGATCACCGCTGGAGCGTTTGTTGCATTCCTTGGCTGAGCTCTCACTTACTCCTGCGCGTGAAGACAGCCCAGCGCCAGCCGAGGAGCATGAAGCGAGACCCGTGACCGGATGCTAGGCCACTCATGAAACCGAGCAAGAAGAGGATGTAGAAGCGGAAAACCTTGCAGGTCAAGAGAGGTGATCCTCAGCCCGCATCTGCTGTCTAACCACATCAGACAAAGTCTGCACCCGTGCAAACAACGCACCACTTTGGCAAGAGGGCTACACTTCGAAATGAACCTTCAGCATCCATGCAAGCAACAAACATCATTTTGGCAAGATGGCTTGAGTAAACCGAGGGTCATTCACGTACGGCATTGAAGCAGGGAAGATCAAGCTCCGATTGAAACGAAGAGAAATCTTGTTCCAGCATGTTCTAGAAACAACCTTGTTCCCGGCCACCTCCATGCCCTCTTCCGCGTAGCTGCGTATCAGCTCCTGAACCAGAAGGCTCTTAAACTTCGAAGCCCTCTGTACCGAACTCAGAGGTTACGTGCAGGCTACAGCATGTGATTGGTAACTCCAGGATGGCCCCTGCAAGTCGGAGAATGGATCGCCGCTGGACGCGCAATGTTCTGTAGGCTTAACCACTGCTCCGAATGAGCTGCCAGGATGTTTGTCTTCGCTTACCGAGTCTAATTTCC